AGATGATAGATAGATAGATAGATAGATAGATAGATAGATAGATAGATAGATAGATAGATAGATAGAGATAGATAGACAGACAGACAGACATACATGACACACACATACATGAGACTTCAGTGATGGGGTTACATACACTCTCCATCCAGCTCAGGACATAGTAAGCCCTCCATGTCACTAATATCTGGTATTAAAAACAGAAATCCTCTCCTAATGGCCTCCACACATCTGTATCCATGGTTGCAGATATGAACCTCCTTCTTTCTACTTCCTTGGGTCCTTCTTCGGGTGTCTGCATCACTGCCTGCACAGCATGGTACAGTGAAGGGTGGCACTGTGGCAAAGTATCTCATGTAAATTTTTGCTGCGTTAATGTTTTCGATTTTTTGCTAACAAATGTTTTTTTTCTACAGCGCATTTTGCTGCGTTTGTTGCACATTTTTGTGCACAGTAAAATGTCTATCTGATTTGTATACTAAAAAATTAATCAAAACAAAAAAAAAAATTAAACAAAAACAAATAAGAAAAACAAAAGCACATATAAGTTTTAAAAATAAATAAACAAACAATATAATTGGGTCTGATGTGAATGTATAATATATTTGTTCAGTGCTGCATAAATTGACGGCATTATATAAGTACCTGTAATTTAAATTAACAAAAAAAATAAAAAATGGACACTTGACAGACCACTCTGATCTTTTTTCAGTACTCACTTTTCTATGTTTCTATGCTGTGTTTGGAGTGCCATCAACAATGGATGGCACCTCAAGTATGCGTTTCGTAAACACACACAAAAATACAAAATTTTGCGCACACTTACAAAATGTGAAGGCGTGAAGGGAGCCTAAAAGAGGGACATTTCTTGAGAAATAGGGACCAGAAGGATTGGTTCCCAAAAAGGGATAGTTATACCCGTCTATGTGCACCCAGCAATGACTGCATAGCATCCGGGGAGGTGACAACAGTGTGTAATGTGTCTGGGGCGACAACACAAGAGCACAACTGGGAGACAGAAACAGAGTGTTGTCACCCTATGACAGGAAGAACTTAACCCCTTGGCGCCGGAGCCTTCTGGCCCTTTAAGGGCTCATTCACACTTGGCTGTTTTACCAACGCTTGCCAAACGCCCCTATAGCGTTTGGCAAACGTTGGTCCGGTGTTTGCAGAGCATTTTTTAACGCTCAGCAAACGCTCCGCAAACGCCACATGCACGGTTTAGCGACGGTTGCTAGGCGTTTGCCGAGCATTAAAAACGCCCCACAAACGCCTATAATGCAGTTTGAATGGTGTTACCGCTCGGCAAACGCCCCGCAACCGCGTCGCAACCGCACCGCAAACGCCGGCCGGGCATTTGCAGAGCGGCACCATAGACTAGAATAGGAGGCTTCAATGCCTCCTGACTCAACCAGAGGCGTCCGTTTTGCCACGACGCAATGTGACGCAAACGCTCCCGTTAGAACAGCACCATGTGCTGTAATGTGCAGAATTGGCAGAGGCGTTTGGGAAGCGGTAAAAAAACACTTCCCAAACCCCTCTCTGCCGCCTGCACACAACGCTAGTGTGAACTTAGCCTTAGTGTTTCAGAAGTTGGGAGGCGGGGCGGGGTTTTAGTGTCACATGATCGGGAAACGTCCTGATCGAAAGAGGAGATCGGGACCTTTCCGGGAGTACTGGACCTGTGTGCTGGGAGCGAGCAGGGCGTGCACTCTCAGCACATACAGTATGTTTTTCTTAATTGCACACAAATGTGCAGCCGCTCGGCGTCAAGGCCCAGACACATTTGATTTGCGTGAGGCCAGCGTTAAGAGGTTAAATAAGGACCTTCATGGCAGGATCACCAGGTATTGTGAAAGCTGCAGAATAAAAACATTTAGAGCTCATGTACACGGGGCGTTTGGAAAACTCTTCTGACCGCTGGAAACTGACTGTTGGAAAACGTAGGTTAAAAAACGTCAGTTTAGCCGCGTTTGCATACCGCGTTTATGCATGTTTGCCTTCAGAAGTGTTTTTAAAAGATAACCTCAGGAGATCTTCCCAAATGCCCGGAATGCACTGGAAAACAGTAAATAATTAAACCTATTTCAGCCATTTTGAGAGGAATAGAGAGAATAGAAGCAGAGAGAGCAGTATGTGTGGAGATGACCTGTCTTTTCTGGTTGTATTCACTATGGATCCCATCATGAGCATAATGCGTCACGTTCTACCGTCTGTTACTTCACGTGAAACCTGGAACTGACTGCGCTGGTGTACCGGGTCCATTTGAATACATGGAAAACGCTTTGCATGCATTTCTGATGATGAAAAAAGGCTCTGGGCAGCATGTGGACATGGAACAGTTAACAAACGCTTCTAAACGCAAACGCTTATAAACGCGGTTAACCACGTTTACAAGCATTTAAATGCATTTACAAGCGTTTGGTGTTTGAAGCTCCAGTAAAATCTACTCCTGAACACAAGTTTGGTGCGTTCACAAAAACGACTGTAAACTCAACTGCCTGTAAACGAGGATGTGTACATGGACACATAGGAGAACATTAGGGAGAGTTCAGGGGCTGCTGAAAAAAAACGCAGAAAAAAAGCTCCTAAACGTCAGTTTATCAGCTGCAGTGTACATGAACCATTAGGTCTCATGTACACGGGGCATTTGTAAAACACTTCTGAACAGGGGCGGACTGACAACTCGTGGGGCCCCCGGGCAATAGGGGATCATGGGGCCCCTGTGTCCTTGCCCAAACTCAAAAAAGTCTATAAAAAAGGTACCAGGGGCATCTCATGGGGCCCCCTACTAACCCTGGGCCCTCGGGCAGTGCCGAGTTTCCAAATGGTCAGTCCGCCCCTGCTTCTGAATGATGGAAAACGTAGGTTAAAAAAGACAGTTTAGCTGCGTTTATGCGTGTTAGCGTTCAGAAGCGTTTTTAAAAGATAACCTCAGGAGACCTTTTAAATGCCCAGAATGCACTGAAAAACAGTAAATAATTAACCTCCCTAGCGGTCTGATTATTTCAGATTTTTGGTGCTGAAAGCAGTACCATTATTTTGCATGGAAATATGTCGTTTTTTTATTGTAGGCTGTAATTTTTAGAAATAACTCACTGAAATCTGTCCGAACAAGAGTCTAGTAAACATCCCGGGTAGGATAAAAATTTGAAACACAAAATCATAAATTATAATTTAATAAATAATCATAAAAAATAATAATATAATAATAATACATTTAATTCAATAATATAATCAAACCAAAAACACTGAAATTTGAAATAGAGCGCCAAGTTCGCACATCACTGAGCAAAGTCGCAAAATTGTTTTCAGTGTCTGATGAGAATTTCCCCCACGAATCATTATCACTCAATTCTGCAAGTGGTTCTGATTTACTATCGCTGTTCTCTAGCTGATCTAAACACGCTTTTGACCTTAAGGGACGCTTTTTGGATGCCATGGACATTTCTCAGTTTCCAGGCAGAAAGCACAGTCAAAATGCAGACAGGGCACAGGACAAAGCACTCGGGCCAAAATGTATGTGAAGTGGTTTGAAACAGCAATGTTTTACTATGTAAAATTTGTTTTGAAAAAAATGAAATTTTTTTTAAATTTTCAAATTTCCCGCCGGTTCCGGCGCCCGTACGTCCCGACGTCACAGGGACCGGAACACAGAAGCCGGATGCCGGCATCGGCCGGAGGAGATGGCCGGGGACGCTGCATGAGGACACATCGCGGGAGCGCAGGACAAGGTAAGTGCTGCAGGGACTCCCTATGCAGCGCCGCATGGTAAGCCCCGAGTGTAGCTCGGGGTTACCGCTTTTGGTACAGAAACTTTACCCCGAGCTACACTCGGGAATACCACTAGGGAGGTTAACTATTTCAGACATTTTGAGAGAAATAGAGAGAGCAGAAGCAGAGAGAGCAGTATGTGTTGAGATTACCTGTCTTTTCTGGTTGTAGTCACAATGGATCCCATCATGAGCATAATGCGGCGCGTTCTACCATTTTTTCCTTCACGAGAAACCTGGAACTGACTGCGCTGGTGTACCGGGTCCATTTGAATACATGGAAAACACTTTGCATGCATTTCTGATGATGAAAAAAGGCTCTGGGCAGCATCTGGACATGGAAAAGTTAAAAAAATGCTTCTAAATGCAAATGCTTATAAACCGCGTTTACATGCGTTTACACGCGTTTACTCCGGTAAAATCTCCTGAACGCAAGTTTGGTGCGTTAAAAAAACGACTGTAAAGAAAAACTGCCTGTAAACGTCTGTAAACGATGATGTGTACGCGGACACATAGGAAAACATTAGGGAGCGTTCAGGGGCTGCTGAAAAAAAAGCAGAAATAGACAGACATCCACCACAGGACATAGTAAGCCCTCCATGTCACTAATATCTGGTATTAAAAACAGAAAACCTCTCCTAATGGCCTCCACACATCTGTATCCATGGTTACAGATATAAACCTCCTTCTCTCTACTTCCTGGGGTCCTTCTTCGGGTGTCTGCATCACTGCCTGCACAGCATGGTACAGTGAAGGTGGCACTGTACCATTTTTATTCTGTATGGCTGCAGCCTATGGAAAACTAATTGTCTCCTGTGATGGGCTCCAGGCAGCCATCTTGGGGAGGACAAAAGATGTCTGCACTGAATTATTGGGTTCACTCATTAGGCTTTTCAGGGCCCTGTCTCATAGGCTCAGAGTCAGAAGAACTGACGGGCAGTGAGGGGACAGACGGACAGACGGACGAACGATAGGGTATATGAAAAGGCGGCTGTGGAGTAAGGTAATACACAATGTTATATTTACATTTCATTTTTACCTGGAGTTCAGCTTTAAAGTGTTACTAAACCCCGGACCCTGCATTCACTATATCCGCTCTCCCCAGGACCCTGCATTTACTATATCTGATCTCCCCGGACCCTGCATTCACTATATCTGGTCTCCCAGGACCCTGCATTCACTATATCCGCTCTCCCCAGGACCCTGCATTTACTATATCTGATCTCCCCGGACCCTGCATTCACTATATCTGGTCTCCCAGGACCCTGCATTCACTATATCCGCTCTCGCCCGGACCCTGCATTCACTATATCGGTCTCCCCCGGACCCTGCATTCACTATATCCGCTCTCCCAGGACCCTGCATTCACTATATCCGCTCTCCCCGGACCCTGCATTCACTATATTTGGTCTCCCCCAGACCCTGCATTTACTATATCCGGTCTCGCCCAGACCCTGCATTCACTATAAGTCACTATATCCGGTCTCCCAGGACCCTGGCATTCACTATATCCTGCAGACCCTGCAATTTGGTTATCCTATTGGTCTCCCCAGGCACCCTGCTCACTATATTCATCTACAATCTGGTCTCCCCCAGACCCTGCATTTACACTATATTTGGCTCTCCCTGCATTCACTTTACTCCTGAAATTTAGACCCTGCAATTCACTATATAATTAATTTTTCTGAATGGCGTCTCCCAGAGACCCTGTTATGCGATTTTTACAAATCACTAAAAAATTATAAACTAACGGAGAATAAATAGTCACATAAATTTAAAATAAATAGCATTTGTATTGCGAATCGGTCTCCGTGAAAATGCTTAATCCCCTTTCACTACATAATGGTATCTGGTCCCAATTGTTAATTTGTTTGAAAAAATCCGAAAAAAAAAAAATGTTTTGCTTTTAAAATCCCCCGGACCCTGCATTCTCCTAATAATCGTTTTCTGCTCTCTTTTATTTTATAATTAACCGACCCCTTCACTATATCTGGTCTCCCATCACCCCCCCCTCTTTGCCCTGCAAATTCCACTATATCTATTTCTACTTTTTTGACCCTGTCTCCCCATTTTAATGAAAGGTCTATTATTTCTATATCCATTAAGTGAATAACAATTTTTAAGTATATTATTATTGCATTCACTATATTCTGGTCTCCCAGGAACCTGCATTCACTATATCTATCTACGCTCTATATCTGGTCTCCCTAGACCCTCAAATTTCTTAAAGGTGATCCCTGCATTCACTATATATCCGGAAATTGTTGAGCCTTTTTTTTTTTTCTAGAATATTCCAGACCCTGCATTCACTATATCTGGTCTGAAGACCCTGCATTCACTATATCCGGTCTCCCAGGACCCTGCATTCACTATATACGCCTCCTGGTCCCCAGGACCCTGCATTCACCCCAGACCCTGCATTTCACTATAATCCCTGGTATATCTGGTCTCCCCAACCCTGCATTCACTATATCTGGTCTCCCCCAGACACCCTGCATTCACTATATATCCGGTCTCCCCAACCCTGCATTCACTATATTCGGTCTCCCCAGACCCTGCATTTCATACTTTACTCCGGCTCCCGGACCCTGCATTCACTATATCCGGTCTTCCCCAGACCCTGCATTCACTAAATAAAAATCCGCTCTCCCCCGACCCTGCATCACTATATCCGCTCTCACCCCCCGGACCCTGCATTCACTATATCCACTCCCAATCCCCGGACCCCCATGCATTCACTATATCCGCTCTCCCCGGACCCTGCATTCACTATATCTGGTCTCCCAGGACCCTGCATTCACTATATCCGGCTCCCCGGACCCTGCATTCACTTTATCCGGTCTCCCCGGACCCTGCATTCACTATATCTGCTCTCCCCCCAACCCTGCATTCACTATATCTGGTCTCCCAGGACCCTGCATTCACTATATCCGCTCTTGCGGACCCTGCATTCACTATATCTGGTCTCTCTGGACCCTGCATTCACTATATCTGGTCTCCCCCCGACCCTGCATTCACTATATCTGCTCTCCCCGGACCCTGCATTCACTATATCTGCTCTCCCCGGACCTACCCTGAATTCACTATATCTGGTCTCCCACAGTACACACAGCATGGAAATGCAATTATTTTACTAAATATAAACTGCTAAATTCCTTTTCTCAACATCAGCAGTTAGAGCAGTCCTGTGACTTCTATCAGTGTTCAGCACAGCACTGGTTAAAGCTTGTAGGAGAAGTTTTCTTTCTGCTCTAGGAGGATGCAGAACCCCTGACCTCTGTCTGGACATTGCTGATTGGCCCTGTGCTGATCACATGCACTCTCCCAAGAAATTAAAAAAAAAAAAAACCTTTCTAGCAATACACACCAAACTGATCATGTGCAAAATGCTTACGGTTCAGTCTGTCTTATCAGGAGATAAGAGGGGGTCGCTTGGGGAGGTTGGGGGGCAGTGTGAGACACTGTTGGAGGTTGGAATGACTATGGGGGACTGGAGGCTTTACAGTAGGCTGGGTGGCACTGCAGGGGGCTTGGGTTGCACTGTACAAGGTTAGGAAACACGGCAGGAGGCCCGGTAGGTGGTTGGTGGGCTACGGCCCAGTGTTTGAAAACAACTGGTTTAGTAATTGAGGTTTTTTTTTTTTTTTTTTTTTTTTTTTTTTAGATTAGGACCAGTGTGTGACGGAAGTGACTTTGGGTGGAACCCCGCTCACTTTGCAGAGGTGGGGAGACTCCTGTCTCAGCTCCCCATATCCCTTCTATGTGTAAGTCACCCTGTGCCTGTTAGGGGTACAGGGTGGAATGTCCTGATTATGTATAGACATGTATAGGTGGGGGGGGTTGTTCATTGTTTACTGCCATGTGGTGCATCCCATTGTTATATTGTGTGTCTTGCTTGAGAGCAAACTATTATGGGATGTATGTGTTTGTGTATTGGCTTGGTGGGGGTGTCTGCTGATGTGTCTCTGGTTGCTAGATTTGGTTTACCCCACCCTGTGTCCATATGCAGGGAGCTGGGTTTGTTCCCTTGAATCTTTATATCTTGTATCTGTGTTAAAATAAAGCAGTCTATTTCCTGGTTTAATACAAGACTGGTGTTGTCTAGCCTTGTATGGTCAGCGGTGGGGTCCGTGGATCTGTGTCCGGACAGGGAAGCGGCAGTCTAACGGAAATACCCAAGTGCAGTCGAGGTCCAGTTCCGTTACACAGTGTTAGAGTTTTTTTCTGGGGGGGGGGGGGGGTTAGGCAGAGTGAAGGTCCTTTTTAGGCTTTCAGGGCTTGAAAGTAGGATATTTAAATTGTATTAAAAGCCATTACACCCATTCTGGAGTGTGAAAGGGTTAGAGCCTCTGTAATATTTTTATTGCAATCCATGTCCCTACTGGGTAGAGTCTCTCTTTTTTTTTTTTTTTTGCCCTGACCATTTTCAAAGCAAGAGGGAATCCAAAACTGCAGAAAAAAGAATAGAATGGAAATGTTCCATTGAGTGACAACCTTTACTGTAGAGAAGCAAAGGGAAAAAAATCTGGAGTTTTAATTATTCCCTGTTTTGTCCAAAACTCAAAAAAGTTGAGGCTTTGGACGCTTTTTAACCTCCTTAGCGGTTTTCCCGAGTGTAGCTCGGGTAAAATTTCTATCCCAAGAGCGGTAACCCCGAGCTACACTCGGGCTTACCATGCGGCGTTGCTCAGGGGGTCCCTGCAGCACTTACCTTGTCCTTCGCTCCCGCGATGTGTCCCCTGCAGCGTCCACGGCCATCTCCTCCGGCCGATGCCGGCATCCGGCTTCTGTGTTCTGGTCCCTGTGACGTCGGGACGTACGGGCGCCGGAACCGGCGGGAAATTTGAAATTTTTAAAAAATGTCATTTTTTGCTGTCATTGCTGTTTCAATGCATTTCACATACATTTTGTCCCGAGTGCTTTGTCCTGTGCCCTGCCTGCATTTTGAATGTTCTTGGTGTCCATGGTGTCCAAAAGCGTCCCTTTACGTCAAAAGCGGTTTTAGAACAGCGATAGTAAATCAGAACCACTTGCAGAATTGAGTGATAATGATTCGTGCGGGAAATTCGTCATCAGACACTGAAAACGATTTTGCGACTCAGCGATGTGCGAATTTGCCTCTGTATTTCAAATTTCAGTGTTTTTGGTTTGATTATATTATTGAATTAAATTTATTATTATTATTTTTATATGATTATTTATTAAATTATAATTTATGATTTCGTGTTTCAAATTTTATCCTACCCGGGATGTTTATAAGTCTCTTGTTCGGACAGATTTCAGTGAGTTATTCCTAAAAATTACAGCCTACAATAAAAAAAACGACATATTTCCATGCAAAAAAATGGTACCGCTTTCATCACAAAAAATCAGAAAGAATCATACCGCCGAGGAGGTAAAAAATGTTGTGCTGTTTGTTTGTACATGGGAAGAAGGAGGTTTATAGGGAAAAGATTTGTTCATCCCGGAGATCAGATTTAACATCACATGCGGTCTGCAGCCTATTCAGCTGACTAAAGGGCCACTGAGACTTGCAGCTCGCCCGGCTATCATCTCTTTCATGTTGCAGCACAATTAGTGAGGAACGTTAACCTTTGGGATGTACAGTATTGTGTGAACATCTTATTAGAGTCCTCCAGTCTCCGGTGGATGGCAGGGTACACACAGCTCTTTGCCACGCTTGCAGAAACACCGTTCCCCCTGTGGTATATACATGGGCTCCCCACTGCAATATGACATTTACATGCTGGCTTTGTGTTTCGAGATTGTCTGCCAGTCCGCACATATGTCTTACTGTTGGCTTTCAATAAAAGTGCACGCCATTTCTCTACAAAGGGTGACATTTTGCATCAGGCTACCATGTGTCTGCTATTATCAGTGTGCTTCCCACAGGAAATAATGGGAATTTTATTAATTTCTTTTAACCAAAAGAAGGCAAATAATAGTTGAAATTTATGAATTTGGTTTAGAGTGTGTAAATAAAGTGGTATTGTACAGTTGTCCCTCGAACCGGTTGGCACTATATAAGTTCTGAGAAAAACAAAAAAAAAAAACAAACAAACAAAAAAAAAAAAACAAAAAACATGCATTATATCTCTGCAATACTAAAAGAAATCCAGTGAAAGATTCAATAAAAAATGCCTGCCTTTTCTCTGCACTGAAATCCCAACCAGCATTACTAGTTCTGCCTGCTGGACTACAGAAGTCTACCTGTCCTTGTCCCCTCTGGTCCTCTCTTCTTGCATTTCTTGATGTCTTTCCCAACAAAACAATGCTACTGCCTTGATGCTGATGGATGTAGGCACCCCCAGAACTACATCTTCCAAGAACCAGGGGCGGACTGACCATTTGGAAACTCGGGCACTGCCCGAGGGCCCGGGGTCAGTAGGGGGCCCCATGAGATGCCCCTGGTACTTTTTTCATAGGGCTTTTTTGAGTTTGGGCTAGGACACAAGGGCCCCATGATCCCCTATTGCCCGGAGGCCCCATGAGTTGTCAGTCCGCCCCTGGTTCAGGGGCTGCTGAAAAAAATGCAGAAAAGCGCCTGAACGTCAGTTTATCAGCTTCAGTGTACATGGAGCCTAATACTCTATGGCCTTTTGGTTAAAAATATATATAATCTTTGAGGGTACTAAGTAATTTTCTAGCAAAAAATGCTGACTTTCGTGTATGCGAAAAATGTCAGTAGGCGGGGCCCCATGAGATGCCCCTGGTACCTTTTTCATAGGCTTTTTTGAGTTTGGGCAAGGACACAGGGGCCCCATGATCCCCTATTGCCCGGGGGCCCCATGAGTTGTCAGTCCGCCCCTGCCAAGAACCCTTTCCCTACACACAGTGAGTAGACAGGCTCTTACATAGTTACACAGTTAGGCAACGTTCACACTGGCTTTGTTACAGGCGTCAGACAATTCTGCACATGGCAGCACACAGTGCTGTTCACACTGAAGCATTAGGGTCGCGTCAGGTTGTGTTGCGGCAAAACTGACGCTTCATGTCGAGTCAGGAGGAGTTGAAGCCTCCCATTCAAATCTATGGTGCCTCTCCTCAAACGCCTCTGCAGGTGTTTGCGAGGTGGTTGAGGAGCGTTAACACCATTTAACTTCATTATAGGCGTTTGTGGTGCTGTTTTAACTCTTGACAAACGCTTATCTAAACGCCTCAAAAAACTGTGCATAGGGCATTTGGGGAGCATTTGAGGATAGTTAAAAACGCTTCCCAAACATCTGTCTAACGCCTGTAAAACACTATAGAGATGATTGGCAAAAGTTAGAAATAAAGTCAAGTATGAACAAGCCCTTAGTCTGGTTAAAAAAAAGACACCATCCTGTTCAACCAACAGAAAAGAAACACACACACACATAGAAAACCTCCATTTACACAATCCTATACTCACAGCTGATCCAAAGGAAGGTGAAAAACCCCAATAAAGAATGATCCAATTTGCTCCAGTGGGGGCAAAAACTATTCCTTCCTGATCTTCCATGAGGCAATCGGATATTCCCTGCATCAACTTTACCTATAAATATTAGTATCCAGTTATAGTATACAGTTGCAAGAAAAAGTAAGTGAACCCCTTGGGATTACGTGGAGTTTTGCATGTTTATTGGGCATAAAATTGCTCTGAACGTCATCTAAGGGACAACAACAATAGAAGAAACACAGTCTGCTGAACATAATACTAACACAAACATTAGATGTTGCATGGTTTAATTGCACATAACATGTAAACATTCACAGTGCAGGGAGGAAAAAGTATGTGAGGCCCTAGCTTAATGACTTCTCCCCAGAGCTAATTGGAGCCAGGAGTGAGCCAACCTTGACTCCAATCAGTGTGATGAAAGTGGATGTGTTGCTGACAGCTGTCCTGCCCTTAAAAAACACACACCTGTTTTGGGTTTACTGGATTCAAGAAGCACTGTCTGATGTGAACCATGCCTCGCAGAAAAGACTCTCAGAAGACCTACGATCAAGAATTTTGACTTGCATGAACTGGAAAGGGTTACAAAAGTATCTCCAAAAGCCTTGATGTTCATGTGTTCCACGGTAAGACAACGGTCTACAAATGGAAAAGTTTAGCACTGTTGCTACTCTCCCAGGCGGCGGCTCATCCTTAAAAATGACTGAAAGAGCACACTGCAGAATGCTGCATGAGGTAAAGAAGAATCCCAGAGTGGCAGCTAAAGACCTACAGAAATCTCTGGCACATGCTAACATTTTTGTTGACACATCTACAATAAGGAAAACATTAAACAAAAGGGAGTAAAATGGAGGACACCACGGAGGAAAAGACTTCCTTGCTGTCCAAAAAGAATATTGCAGCACTTTGAAGTTTGCAAAAGAGCACCTGATGTTCCACAGCACTACTGGCAAAAATATACTGGGACAGATGAAAGCAAGATTGAATGTTTGGGAAGAACACACAACAGGTGTGGAGAAAAAAAGGCACAGCACACCAACATCAAAACCTCATTTCCCCACTGTAAAGCATGGCGGAGGACATAAGCATTCCATGGTTTGGGGCTGCTTTGCTGCCTCAGGGGCCTGGACGCATTGTTGTCATTGATGGGAAAATGAATTCCAGGGTTTATTAGACATTTTGCAGGAAAACGTACGACCATCTGTCCGCCAACTGAAGCTCCGCAGAGGATGGGTGTGATGCTACAGGACAATGACCACAAAGCATACAAGTAACTAAGAACAAAACAATGGCGCAACAGCACAGAATAAGCCTTTGAGTGGCCGGCCCAGTCAGAGTCCTGACCTCAACCCGATTGAATATGCTGTGGCATGACCTTAAGAGAGCGATTCACACCAGACCATGACCCAAGAATATTGCTACACTGAAATCAGTTTTTGTGAAGAGGAGTGGTCCAAAATTACTCCCTAGATCGTTGTGCAGGTCTGATCTGCAACGACAGGAAACGTCCTTGGTTGAGGTTATATCCTGCCAAAGGAGGGTCAACCAGTATTATTAAAATCCAAAGGTTTTCACATACTTTTTCCTTCCTGCGCTGTGAATGTTACATGTTATGTGCAATTAAACCATGGCAAACATCTATATGTTTTATGTATTATTATGTTCATCAGACTGTGTTCTTCTATTGTTGTGACTTGATGACGTTCATGAAGCACATTTTAATGCCCAATTCATGCAAAACTAATTGGTAATCCCAAGGGGTTCACATACCCCTTTTCTTATGCAACTGTATACATTTAGATAGATATCCAGGCCTTTTTTAAAGCAATCACTAAGGCATGGCCAGGAACAAACTCTTAGGAGTCTATTCCACATTTTCACAGCTACACTGTGATAAGAAACCTTTCTATGTTTGGAGATTAAATCTTTTTCCTCCAGACGTAAAGAGTGCCCCCTTGTCCTCTGTGATGACCTCAGGGTGAATAACTCTACCCCGAGTTTCACTATATGAACCACTGATGTATTATACATGGAGATCATATCCCCCCTTTATGTTATTATACATGGAGATCATATCCCCCCTTATGTATTATACATGGTGATCATATCCCCCTTATGTATTTATACATGGAGATCATATCCCCCCTTATGTATTATACATGGAGATCATATCCCCCCCCTTATGTATTATACATGGAGATCATATCCCCCCTTATGTATTTATACATGGAGATCATATCCCCCTTATGTATTATACATGGAGATCATATCCCCCCTTATGTATATACATGGAGATCATATCCCCCCTTATGTATTATACATGGAGATCATATCCCCCTTATGTATTATACATGGAGATCATATCCCCCTTATGTATTATACACATGGAGGAGGTCATATCCCCCCCTTATGTATTATACATGGAGATCATTGATCCCCCCTTATGTATTATACATGGAGATCATATCCCCCCCTTATGGTATTATACATGGAGATCATATCCCCTTATGTATTTTAACATGGAGATCATATCCCCCTTATGTATTATACATGGAGATCATATCCCCCCTTATGTATTATACATGGAGATCATATCCCCCCTTATGTATTATACATGGAGATCATATCCCCCAATATGTATTATACATGGGAGATCATATCCCCCCTTATGTATTATACATGGAGATCATATCCCCCCTTATGTATTATACATGGAGATCATATCCCCCCTTTATGTATTATACATGGAGATCATATCCCCCCTTATGTATTATACATGGAGATCATATCCCCCCCTACTTATGTATTATACATGGAGATCATACCCCCCCCCCTTATGTATTTATACATGGAGATCATATCCCCCCTTATGTATTATACATGGAGATCATATCCCCCCTTATGTATTATACATGGAGATCTCATATCCCCCTTTATGTATTATACATGGAGATCATATCCCCCTTATGTATTATACATGGAGATCATATCCCCCTTATGTATTATACTACATGGAGATCATATCCCCCTTATGTATTATACATGGAGATCATATCCCCCCTTATGTATTATACATGGATCATCATATCCCCCTTATGTATTATACATGGAGATCATATCCCCCTTATGTATTATACATGGAGATCATATCCCCCCCTTATGTATTATACAATGGAGATCATATCCCCCTTATGTATTATACATGGTGATCATATCCCCCCTTATGTATTATACATGGAGATCATATCCCCCCTTATGTTTATACATGGAGATCATATCCCCCCTTATGTATTATACATGGTGATCATATCCCCCCTTATGTATTATACATGGAGAGATCATATCCCCCCTTATGTATTAATACATGGAGATCATATCCCCCCTTATGTATTATACATGGAGATCATATCCCCCCTTATGTATTATACATGGAGATCATATCCCCCCTTATGTATTATACATGGTGATCATATCCCCTCCCCCCTTATGTATATACATGGAGATCATATCCCCCCTTATGTATTATACATGGAGATCATATCCCCCTTATGTATTATACATGGAGATCATATCCCCCCTTATGTATTATACATGGAGATCATATCCCCCCTTATGTATTATACATGGAGATCATATCCCCCCTTATGTATTATACATGGAGATCATATCCCCCTTATGTATTATACATGGAGATCATATCCCCCTTATGTA